GTTTTATATACTAAATAGAAGAATTATTAAAGCCATTATTAATAGGCTCAGAGAGATAAAAGAAACTACTCCATCTTGACAAAAGAATAAGAGACTATTAAAAAAGTATCCAGAGAGAAAACAAGGACTTCCAGCCAAGATGGAGGCATAGGTAGATACACTTTGCCTCCTCGCTCAACCAAAAAGAGGACAACAACAAATTTAAAAACAAAAAAATAACCAAAATTGCCCGAAAATCGAACTACTTGGAAGCCTGACAACCAAGGAGCTAAAGAAGAAACATTCATTCAGACCAGGACGATGGGCAGAGACGGGCAGCTGAGGAGGGGATGACCCACGGCAAGGTGGTGGCTGAAGGACCAGGCAGGTGAGGCTGCAGCTGGCAGACCGGGAGGTCCTACACTTGGATGCAAATAAACCGGAGGAACAGCAGGGGAGCGAGACAGACCACGCAACCCAGGGTTGCAGTGCGGGAAAAGCAAGCCTCGGAACCTCTGGCGTTAAAAACCTGTGGGGGTTACAGCAGCAGGAGAAACTCCCAGCTTCACAGGAAAGTCGGTTGGAGAGACCCACGGGGTCCTAGAATGTACAGGAACCCACACACCTGGGAATCAGCACCACACAGGCCCAGTTTGCTTGTGGGTAGCATGGAAAGTCACTAAAAGCCACTGAGAGCCGAGCAACTGCATTGTGCCCTCTCCGGCCCCTCCCCCACACAGCGTCACAGTGCAGCGACCTGGGTTGCCCCGCCCTGGGGAATACCTAAGGCTCCGCCCCTCCCAACTTAACTGGCACGCTGAGACAAAGAAATGTGGCCCAAATAAAAGAACAGATCAAAGCTCCAAAAATAGAACTAAGTGATGAACAGATAGCCAATCTATCAGATGCACAGTTCAAAACACTGGTAACCTGGATGCTCACTGAATTGGTTAAGTATGGTGGCAAAATGGAGGAAAAAGCAAAGTCTATGCAAAGTGAAATAAAGAAAAATATACAGGGAACCAACGGTGAAGTGAAGGAAACCTGGACTCAAATCAACGACTGGGAGCAGAAGGAAGAGATAAACATTGAACCAGAACATAATGAAGAAAAAAGAATTCAAAAAAATGAGGAGAGGCTTAGGAACCTCTGGGACAACTTTAACTGATCCAACATCCAAATCATAGGAGTGCCAAAAGGAGAAGAGGAAGAGCAAAAAATTGAAAACTTATTTAAAAAAATAACAAAGGAGAACTTCCCCAATCTGGCGAAGGAAATAGATTTCCAGGAGATCCATGAAGCTCAGAGAGTCCCAAAGAAGTTGGACCCAAGGAAGCACACAACAAGGCACATCGTAATTACATTACCCAAGATTAAAGATAAGGAGAGAATCTTAAAAGCAGCAAGAGAAAAGGAGACAGTTACCTACAAAGGAGTTCCCATAAGATTATCAGATGATTTCTCAAAAGAAACCTTGCAAGCAAGAAGGGGCTGGCAAGAAGTTTTCAAAGTCATGAAAAGCAAAGACCTACTTCCAAGATTATTCTCTCCAGCAAAGCTATCATTTAGAATGGAAGGGCAGATAAAGTGCTTCCCAGACAAGATCAAGTTAAAGGAGTTCATCATCACCAAGCCCTTATTATATGAAATGTTAAAGGGACTTATCTAAGAAAAAGAAGAAGATCAAAAACTATGAACAGTAAAACAGAGGGGAGAGGGAAGGGAAAGAATGGGGGAAAAGGTACAGGGAATAAATAGCATAAATAGTAGGTACAAAGTAGACAGGGGCACTTTAAGAATAGTATAGGAAAAAGAAGCCGAAGTTTACATGTATAACCCATGGACATGAACTAAGGTGGGGGGAATGCTGGGGGGTGGGGTGGTGCAGGGTGGAGGGAAATAACAGGGAGGGAAAAAATGGAACAACTGTAATAGCATAATCAATAAACTATATATTTTAAAAAAGTATCCAGAGTTATAGGGCATTAAAAATATATATTAGCCCAGGCTGGTGTGGCTCAATGGGTTGGGTATCATCCTGCAGGCTAAAAGGTTGCCAGCTGAATTCCCAGTCAGAGCACATGCCTGGGTTGCAGGCCAGGTCCGTGGTCGGGGGCGTGCAAGAGGCAATTGATTGATATTTCTCTCTCACATCAATGTTTCTCTGTTTCTCTTTCTCCCTCCCTTCCCGTCTGTCTAAAAATAAACAAATAAAATATTTTAAATATATATCATATTTTTTAAACTCTAAATAATAAAATTAGATGGCAAAAATTTTGGAAAACCTCAGAAAGCCAGTAAAAAGAAAGGACAGGCCAGATAGAAACTGGAGTGAGCTGCAGAGCAAAGGAAGAGTTTCAGAAAGAGAGGAAAATGAGGGAGGACACCAAACATCAAATGAATATTCAAGAAAATTTCCCAGAACTGAAGAGCACGGGTTTCCACATTAAAAGATTCTGCTTAGAACGCGATCCAGAGGGTGAAAACACAGCCACATCAAGAGAGAGCATGTGATAGTTCAGCCTGCTAGACAGAGAGAGAAAAACCCAAAAGTTCTAGGGGAAGGGGTGGGAATGGGATAGTACCAAGAATCTATAATCAATCAGCATTAGACTTAATAGCAACACTATTGAGAGATGCCGGGAGACAGTGTGACAGTACCTTCCAAATACTGAGCAAAAATTATTTTCAGGCTAGAATTCTATACCCAGCCAAACTGTCAGTCAAGGATGAGGGGAGTGAGGGTAAACTAACCATATTTTTAGACATAAAAGTCTAGGAATCCTTTCTCAGAAACTACTAGAGAATGTACTTCAGTAAAATGAAGGGAAAATAAAAAGAAAAAGGAAGACGTGGGACCCAGGAAACAAGGGACACAGCACAGAACAAGGGACAGCCAAGATCATGGTGAAGGGAGATTCTCGGGTGACAGCAGGCCCAGAGAGCACCCAGACAGACCGAAGCAGGAGGACAGGAGGCTCCAGGAGGGACATCTTTGAAAAGATGAAATTGATGGAATAGGCAGCGTTCAGCACATCACACATGCTTCCAGCAGGGAATGCGAGAATAAGTTAGTGGTAGGGACGTAGAAAACCTAAACAAATTGAGAAAGAGATCTTTACTCCAAGGAAATAAAATGTAATATAAAATATGATTTGATTCTGAATAATATTTAATAGTCATAATAATGTAAACATTAAACACTTATGTAATGAAAATATGAGTATATCAAGAGGATGGGAAGAAGGGAAGTAAGGAAGAAGTGGGAAGAGACAACCCTGCATAAGAGAGTTAAGTCAGTCCCCGCCTTTACAGCAGGACATCAGCACTCAACATCAAAACTGACAAAATCAAAGAACCGCAGTAGAGGCTTGTTGTCAAAAATGAGGAGGCAAATGCCAAAAGTAACAGCTAAGAAAGAGGGAGGGGTGAAGGAGTTCTGTGACACAAACTGGGATGGCCTTTTTATAAAAGATTGCATTATGTTACACATACTAACTGACGTTTTTGAATTAAAAATTTTAAATATGGAAGGCACCCATGGCAAGTGCAAGGTGTGACACGTCACAGCCGGTCAGGTATGGCTGAGTCATGGGTACCGAGCAGAAGGGCAGGACAGAACCAAAGCAGGTGGAGAAGGGAGGGCCAAGCATCGGAGGGGAGAGGGAGCAGCACCAGTGGTCAGGCAAAGCCGGCCTGACCACCTCCTTGTTCCTGGTCTTGACCACACTCTTGTGAGAAGGGTCATTGGGCAGAAGTGGGAGTGGGAGAGATGGGCAGCAAGTGGTCACTTCTAGGGAGAGAGGAAGCAGGGTTGAATGCGGCGGTGACACGGGGAACGAAGGGGCAGGTATGAGTGGTCAGATGCTTCCTAGGGGACTCATCAGCGTGAACTTTATGGGCTGAGGGGGCCTGCGGGAAAGGAGGGGAGTATGGGGGTGATGAGGAGCAGTACGTTGGGAGGAGAAAGGTTTGAGCCACGGACACCATCCCCCAGGCAGAAGGCTCAGCCTTCCACCATCCAACACAAAAATCATGGTGTGCAGGAGTGAGGAGCCGGAGGTAGGGCTAAGAGCTCACGCTTTGGAGTCTATGATGAGGTAGGGTGGTATGAAGGAAAGGCATGGGTTTTGTCACCAGACAGCCCTGGGTGTGCCCGCAGCCGTGCTACTTAGTATCTGCGTGACTTCATGCCAGTCACTTAACCTCTCTGAATCCCAGGGTTGTCTCCATTCCAACATGGGCCTGACCACACCCGGGTCACAGAGTTGCTGGGAAGGTGTAAGGAAGGAACCTCCGTAAAACACCTCACATGATGTCTGTCAACATGGGTGACTCCTTCCCGTCCTGTATCTCACCCCCACTTCCCGATGGCACGGAGTCTGCCAGGAAGACCCTACAAACTCTTCGGAGCTTTGGTCTTTCCGGCATTCCTTGGGCTGTGAGGTCCCAGAAGGTTCCTAGGAAGCACCTTCAACTCCCCTCCCAGCGTTTCAAGAACAGAGACCACACAGGTTTGCATCAACCAGAAAGTCAGCTTTATTAGCCCATCACCAGCTGCGGGGGAGGGGGACGGGGGAGATAGCTGGGACCTGCGCTGGGAGAAGAGGGGCCGGACCCAGGCCTTCCGGAGCTGAGGCCAGCGGGTGGGCCAGAGGCTCTGGCAGAGGCAGCTCAGATCTTGGGGTTCTGGCCCTGGCTGAAGCTTGACGAGCCCTGCTCCTTGAGGATGGGCCGGGTCTGGCGGCCGGAGGAGGAGGAGGAGGCTGTGGGAGAGGAGAGAAGAGGTGAGAAAGGCTCTGGCAGCTCAGCTGGTCCCGCACAGCGGGGAGGGAGGGCTGGAGGCTCTCAAGTGCCCGGGACCCTCGGAAGCCTTACCATCTCGGGAATAGGATTGGCTGGACGAGAATTGAGAGGAGGAGAGACTGTGGGAGAGAAAAGATAGGGCAGTTAGAGATGCTGGGAGCAGCACGGGGCAGAAGGGTTTATGGGACAGAACTGGGGGGACAGGGGACAGCCACTCACTGGGAGTCCTCGCCCTCCAGCAGGCTGCGGTAGGTGGCGATCTCCTGCTCTAGCCGTGTCTTCACGTCCAGCAGGATCTGATACTCCTGGCTCTGCTGCTCCATCTCACAGCGCAGCTGGGCCAGCTGCTCCTCCACGCTGCCGATCAGCCCCTGGATCTGGGACAGCTGCATGCAGTAGCGGCCTTTGGTCTCCTCCAGGCTGCCCTCCAAGGATGCTTTCTGTAGATGGGAGAGAGAGAGAGAGAGAGAGAGAGAGAGAAAGAGTCATCAGTGGTGGTTACTGCTGTTTCTCCAGGTCTCTGGTGTATTTTCTGTGAGGTACATGGATTTTGATCCCAGTTCAGCTACTGATGGCCAGAAAACAGAGAGAAAATTACCATTCTGGGCCTTAACTTCTCCACCTATAAAATGGGTACAATGATCCCTCCATCCCACTCTTGGGGAAAGAGACTTGGAACGGTTGTTGTGGCAGTGTTGAGGGCTTGGTGGCCATTACTGGTGACTTGGGGGTTGGGGCTGTGCTCGCTTTTTCTTACCATGCTGAGCTGGGACTGCAGTTCAATCTCCAGGCCCTGGAGCACCCTGCGGAGTTCGGTCACCTCGCTGCGGCTGCTCTGCACTAGTTCGCTGTTGGAGGCCACTTCTTTGTTCAGCTCCTCGGTCTGAGACAGGAGAAAGAGCAGAAGATGTGAGGCACTCCAGGCGCTCCCCGGCCCCCAGCGGGGAAGTCCTGCCGGAGGGCTGAGGACCCAGGCCTCACCTTGCTCAGGAACCAGGCCTCGGCGTCCCTGCGGTTCTTCTCTGCCATCTGCTCATACTGGTCTCGCATCTCGTTCAGGATGCGGCTCAGGTCCACACCAGGGGCAGCGTCCATCTCCACATTGACATCCCCGCCAGTCTGACCCCGCAGGGCAAGCATCTCCTAGGAAGGGATGGCCAGAGGCAGTCAGCTCAGCTGACCCCTCTCCTGACCCCAGGTGCCTCAGCAGCCCCTTGAACCTGCCTCCCACCCACAAGGCCAGCAGCAGCCTCACCTCCTCGTGGTTCTTCCTCAGGTAGGCCAGCTCCTCCTTCAGGCTCTCGATCTGCATCTCCAGGTCGGCCCTGGCCAGGGTCAGCTCATCCAGCACCCTGCGCAGGCCGTTGATGTCGGCCTCCACGCTCTGGCGCAGGGCCAGCTCGTGCTCGTACCTGGCAGCACAGAGGTCAGGGCATCACATTCCATCCGTGAGGCTTCTGAGGCTCAAGGCCTTCTGCTCCTCCTGGATAGACAGCCCCCCTTCTCGCCCCCTCCCTTTGCTCTCTGCCCTCAGCCCGGGGATGCTTACTTGGTCCTGAAGTCATCAGCTGCCAGCCGGGCATTGTCAATCTGCAGAATGGGCTGAGCGTTCTCGATGGTGGCAGCAATGATCTGCAGAGGCGGGGAAAGGGCAGGGTGGGCTCAGAGGCGAGGAGCACAGATGGGTGAAAGGGGCCTCCCCACACTTGGGGGTTGCCTGCCTTGCAGGTCAGGCCGCATGCTCCCCCAGCCAGCCTGCTGGGTGTGTAGGGGGTGCTCCCCACCTCTCCCATCTCCCCATCCTGGGCCCGAGGCTGAGAGAAGCTGAAGGCGCAGTGCAAAGAAAGCTTGCAGGGAATAAAAGAGCCAGGGTTCCAGGTCGGGCTCAGATGCTGAAAAAGAGCCCTCTGCCACCAAGTCTCTGAGGGGACCTTGGCCACTCCCCCCAGGCCAGATTCAGTCTGTGAAAGGGAGATGCTAGCAAGCAGATTCCTAAGGGCCACTGCAGCCATGACCTCTCCCGATGCTCCCCCGCCAGAGCCTCCCGCCTGGCCCACCCACCTTGTTCCTCAGGTCCTCAATGGTCTTGAAGTAGGGGCTGTAGTCCTTGGTCTCACTGGGCCGCTGCCTCTGGTACCAGTCGCGGATCTTGACCTCCAGGTCGGCGTTGGCCTCCTCCAGGGCACGCACCTTGTCCAGGTAGGAGGCCAGGCGGTCATTGAGGTTCTGCATGGTGAACTTCTCGTTGCCAGAGAGGAGGCCGCCATCGCCGCCACCGAAACCAGCACCAAAGCCGCCGCCGAAGCCGGCACCAAAGCCGCCACCATATCCTCCTCCAAAGCCACTACCCAGGGCTCCACCAAAGCTGCTACCACTGCTGAAGCCACCGCCATAGCCGCCCCCGAGCCCACAGGCTCCCCCGGAGGAGTAGCGGGAGGAGGAGACAGACATGCCCCCGAAGGCGCTGGGGGCCCGGCAGGACCCTCCAGCCAGGACAGAGGACATGCGGCTGGAGCCAAGGCCACAGGAGCCCTTCATGGAGCCGGAGGTGAACTGGCGGCTGCAGGTGGTCATGGTGCCAAGGAGGGAGGTGAGTGAGCGAGTACGTCGGCAGAGAGGAGAGAAAGGTGCTCAGAGAGTCTGGGAAGATGCTGGGGCTGCTTCAACCCCTGGCACCTTTATATGCACCTGGGGAAGGCGGGGCCACCCCAACTGCTGACTCGGGGTTCCCCCTGGATTTCATCACTCCAGGTCCCATCCAACTCCCTACTCCGGATTACTCAGTCTGGGGTCCATTCACTGTGCTGCGCTGCTCGGAGTTCCCACCCAGCTTTGAGGGGCGTGGGGCCAAGAGAAAATAGACAAAAGAGAGTCAGTGGTGACTCAGGCTAGGCGGCAGGAATCTGCTCCTGTTCCTGGAGCCCGAGGGGACAGCAGGGCCTTGGCGCAGGCGGCTTAATGGCGGCCGCGTCCCCAGGCAGTGAGTCAGCCCCGGGAAGGACTCCCTGCCCCACGGTGACAGCCTCAGCGATGCCCTCGCAGGGCTGGCTCAGCAGGCAGCCCTGCGGACCCTTTGCGCCGGCTCCTGACAGGAGAGTCCGGTTCAAGGCCTCTCTCTGCTTGGCTCACTGTGTGACCAGGGGCCCCTCACCTACCCTCTCTGAGCTTGCTTCCCCTCAGCAAAATGACAAGGCTGGACTGGGTGATCTTGCAGTCTTTTCCAGTTCTAAAAAGTCTATGACTCTCTTTCCCTTACTGGATGCAACCTGTCTGGGAGGCCGCCGTTGAGCCCCCAGCACCTCCGGAAGGGGCATGCACCACGGACCCGCACGTGCTGCGGAGCTGACAGGCGGCGGCGGCTTGACTCCCGGCACAGCCGCTCGCAAGCTGCACAGCATAGGCAGCCCTTTCACACATCTGAGCCTCGGTTGCTGTTTTTCTTTTTTCATTAAATTTGTAAAAGGGGAGGACCCCAGCCACATGCAGAGGAACATGCAGGAATAGCCCCTCTGGCCTCTCCCCCGGTGGCCCGCTCTGATCCATTCTTTCCTGCCTGCACAGCTGCCTCTCACCTGCCTCCCAGAGCCCACTGCTAGGCTCTGGCCCCTCCCCCCACACCCCTGCCCTCCTGCCTGCGCCCCCTCACTCCCACCCTTTGAGCAGCCCACCCCCGATGCACTGCTCCTCCTAGTCACTGGCACCCACGATAAACTGTGATGGGAGGGAGTCCCTATCTTGCCACTGGTACCATGAGTGACCCCGGACCCCACCGTGGGCTTTAAGTCCCCACACTGTGTCCAGGGTTCAGTTCCCAACAGTTTTCTCTCAAGTGTCCACAGATTCCTGGCTGGGCTTGGCAGCTTCACTCATTCAGTAGAGGGCAGGGGCGGAGGAGGTAGCTCTCTAGTCACCTGCCATACCCAAACCGCATGTAGAGTGCGCTACCAGTGCCACATGGTTCTGAGAGGGGCCCGTTCCTGCCACCAGTGCACAGACAGGGAGCTGGAAGGGTAAGTGGGCTTCCCAAGACTCCCATCAGTGGGGAGCTGAGGTTTGACCCCATCTGTCTGTCTGTCCAGCTCCAGCCATTTCCACCAGCCTGAACCACGCTCTCTCTCTGTCTCTGGCCCTTTTCACTGCCTTGAATTCATCCTGTGGTATAGAGGGAAAACCAGACAGAGGGGCGATCCCCTCAAGTCACTAAGCCCGGGACTAGAACCCAGAGTTCAGGCAGCGTCCGCTCTCCCAGGGGGCCTGGCAGGCCGGGCCCACTGTGTCCATTCTCATCTACCTCCCTACGGTGCCCTGAAGGAGCTCGGCCCACAGCGGGCATGACCCGGAGGCAGGACTGGGAGAGTCCTAGAGGCCTCCTAGGGGTGGTCTGAGGGGCGACCTCCAGAGCAGGCCATGTCCTCGCTCCAAAGTGCCTCTTGGTCAAGGTGAGTGGAGCGGAGAGGGCCTGCCCCAGCCCGAGCCCTGCTGGGCGATGCCACCACAAAACCCTCTGCCTCAGCACAACCAGGCTTCCTTACCGCCAGGCCGCGCTCCATCAGCCACTTGGCTTGTGGGCACAGGCCCCAGAAGTATTAGCACACACCTCGGGACTAGGCCTGGGAGATGCTCCCCTGCCCACACCCGCCAAATGGGCAAACGGGCCCTAAAATTTGGGGCAAAAATCCTACCATCCCAGGTGTCAGGATGGGCCTGGGATTCAGGTTGAACTACAGACTCACCACTCTCAGAACTGAAAAATGACCTTTGAGGTCCCCAAAGGCCACCAAGCTCCAACCAAAGAGAGTGAAAGACTTGTCCTGTGTTATACCGCATGGACACAGAGGAACAGAGACTCAAACCGGCCTCTGGGAAATTTCCTTCTTTGTCCCCAGCACACCCTCCTCCTCCGTTCTAATTGGATTGATGCCCCTCCCCCATCCCTGGAGGCTGCGAGGGCGGGAGGGGCAGTCGGGAGAGGGGGAGGTGTTGCACAGGCCCAGGCCTGAAGGTGCAGGGAGCTACCTGGGCTGAGAAGCTGTGGGAAGGAAGCTGCTGACCAACCATCAAACATTCCATCGATACTGCGAACCAAGTGCCCATCACTGCCCAGCACTGGCGCATAGCGGGTGGGGGAGATGTGACCTAGTCTCTAGCCTTGGAACTTATCATTTGACCTGGAGAGAAAACTAAGGCAGGAATGCAGCACCCAGGGCAGAAAACCCTTGGGTGTTCTTTCCTCGGGACACAGCTGGACGAGCGTCACCAGCAGCAACAGGGGGTCACCTCCAAGACCCCCTTCAGAAGGTGGCTGAACCAGGGGTGGCTCTGGCTGGGCCTCTGAAGAGCTGAATTGGCAAAGAAGGAGGGGGAGCGCTTCCTCCATTACACCTGTGCCAGGGTCGCCGGGCCTGTGGGTACTTCCACCCAGCTGGCGCCTCTCCAGGCGGAGGGTTCGCCTCATTCCTCTCTCCTCGGACGTCCCATCTCAGGTGTGAGGTCAGCACATCCCAGAGTTGGCCGGGAAATATTATTGGCCAACACCAAGGCCTCAACTTGCCACGCTTTCCAAACCTGACCGATCCCCAGCACCCATCCCAGTCCCCGGGCCCTGCTTGGCCCGCTGCATCAGCATCACAGGACAAAGCTGGTTCTGGGGACGGTTTTCTCTCTGGGAACCGGTCAGGCCTAGGGGAGGGAGGGCAGGAGACAGAGGCCCCCGGGAGACTGAGGGGAGAGAGGACGCAGCTGCAGTGCCCTCAGCCCCTGCTGGCACCCAGAACCACGGCTCCCAGAGAGGGTGAAGAGAGAAGAGGCTGGACGAGCCAGGACAGAGGCAGCCCGGCTGGAGTCGGGCAAACCGGGATCAGGTGTTAGACAAGTCGTTCGGCCTCTCTGAGCCTGTTTCCTTCTCGGGGAAATGGGAAGATCAGCACTACTTCCCAGACACATTGAAGGTGAAATTAATAAAGCACCTGGCACAGACTGATGGTCATATTGCATTTATTCACAGGTATTTATAAGGTACATAGTATGTGAACTCAGAAGCAAAAAAACAAAAACAAAAATGACCAAAAAAAAAAAAAAACAAGAAGAGAAGCCCTCCTGGTGGGGAGAGGGGGCAGAAGCAACCCCAGCACAGTGCGCTGCAGCTGTGACCGGGGGTGGAGGGCCCCCCCCCCCGGAGAGGGCCTGCAGGGGGCGGGGCCGGGCCCTCTGGGAGTGAACACCGTCCCTGATCCAGGCTCTGGCCCCTGACTAGTCCCAGGATCCGGGTGAATCTGAACACCAAGCTCCCCCATGTTTGATGCCCCGCTTCCGAGGGTGGGGACTGTCACAGTCCCTCACAACCGTCTGCACAGCCAAGAGGCACTCAGGGAAGCCCATGGCACAGCCACCCACAGCACAGACTAGCCCCGGAGACCCACGCTGCCTAAGGGCTGCGGGGGCATTGTCAGCCCGACGCTGTGCCGTGCTCGCCACTCGTAGGCTGCGGCCCCTCGGGGTCCCTGCGGGCCAGGGCCTGTGTCTCTTGCTTCCCCTGGCCCCCTGGAGAACCCAGGCACAGAGCGATGCAGTACCATGGACAGTGTGACTGCCAGGTGTCTCCCAGCAGGAAGCGCTGCCAGCTCACCCTTCCGGGACGCCAGAGCGGTGGAGGAAGAGTCACGGGGCCTGGCTACCGCAGGCCTGGGACCGAGATGGGCAATCAGGTGCATGCGTGTCCATCCAAGGAGAGTGGGTGAGGTGGCGCTGAGGGCAGTTACCAACAGGTTCTCTGATAGGAGCAAAATATTTTGTGCAGGAGGTGGGTAGGTGCATGCACACGAACCGAGAGACCCTCTGCGGAGTCCCCTGTCCAGCCACAGGCAATGGCCCCAGAAGCCTGGGTCAGCTTGGGATGCCCGGACAAAGCCACCAAAGTCCCCCACACCACCCCCAAGGCAGCACAGGCCCCTGAACCTATTCACTGTGCCCTGAGGCCCCCACCTGCGCAGGCCTGGGTGCAGTCTTTCTGGAAAGGGTGAGGCTTCCCCTCTCTGAGGCCCGGACTATCTCCTGCGGACCCCCAACATCAACACAGAAGCCACCGCCTCCCTCAGCTCAGCTCCCAGAGCACCCGGCTGCTCCCCACTATGGCCCCCTGAGCCGCTCTCTTTGTGGGCAGGGGTTTCTTCCCCAGCAGAGGGGCACAGTCTGGGCTATGTCTGGCCAGCCCCATATTCTGACTTCCCCTTAGCCACTGCACCTGTAGGAGCGGACCCCCAGAGTCTGGGGAGGGAGAGCCGCTAAGAGCCTGAGGTCGAGCAGGAGGCGGGACTCTGGGTTCCTCCTCCCAGCACAACTGTCTCCTTCCAGGGCCCTGCTCCACCCCTGGCATGCCAGACTCCAGACAAGGGCTGAGTCACTGCCCCTCAGAGCCTCAGTGTCCCTGTGCACACAATGCGGTGCCTCTTCCCAGAGCCCTCCTGCTTCCTGGAACAGTTGTTCAAATAAATGAGATCACCCTCCAGGTGAGCCATCCTCAGCCCAGGGCTGGTTCTGCTGGTTGTGGCCGGATGTACGTGGGGGCCTCAGGGGTA